CGTCAATGTGGCCCGTTGAGGGTGGCCAATATGCTGAAGTGGCCCTTGGTGAAATTGAGTTTGACACCCCTGCTTTAAACCCTGTCAAAAACAGGCAGCCAATATTCTAAAATCGCTTTTATTTTGCTAATTTCACTTTAAAAATGGTCAGATGTCTGTTTGTGCGCAGTCGGCTGCACAAACAGGTCAAGGATAGAAATCAAACTTGTCATTTTATTTTATAACTTTTTATGAGAAAAGGTACGGCAGAGATGGATAGCAGCCTAATGACTTGCAGTCGTCAACAATTATGACTTGCACCTGTCAATAATGATGACTGGCAGCTGTTGATGTATTCGCGGATTTGTAGCGAACATTTTTACAAGGTAAGAAGATTAATGTTCTTATAATTTATAAGTCGGTATGATTAGAAAGGTCTGATGTCGCATTATGGAGAAAGTAGGTGTCTAACCGTTGGTAACCATGGCGACAATGCCGCACCGTCAGGTAGCCTAACATGTCTGGAAAAAACTGGTTAGCATCTCGTCTTTTGTACGTTTTTAAGGCTGCTCAGATGTAAAGGGAAACGCTGTTTATGACATGGTGAAATAAATAATGTGGTGTGAATTCAGGCAAAGTCGGTAATTTGATCAACACATCAGGAGGGAGGAGGTATGATGGGTCGGTTTCTACGCTAGCTATTTCCAACTTTTGTAAATACCGCCGTCTGTGAGCCCCAACCAGGTTCACAGACAAATTAGCTCGACTCGAACAAGTAAACCATGAATAAACTGGCAAAAACAACTTTGGAAAACGATTTCATTTGCTCCGTCTCTCATTTCCAAACACCCGTCATAGCACTTCGAATGATTATGTGACGCAGTTCCAAACGGTCAATACAGAAAGGACGTTTCTGTGCCTCCATAATCACTTTCAGCCTAAATGTGCAGAATTTTTCCATGAGGAGGAAAAATACTCAGTTTTATTTATTTATCTGGATCTTATTGACAGCTTGAAAGGATATAGAAGAGGTGGATTTTCTGTGTAGAACACATTGCAACCACAATAGTGTGATTTTCATATGCACATATTTTTAGGCAAGTACAGTCATGCTTACAAAATGCAAAATCAGTGTTTTTAAAAATCACTCCTTATAAGTCACACTAAAACGATTTTAAACTTAAACCATAAAGGCTTGGAGTGAATTTTATGTCAATCAGTTTGTTGAAAAATATATTTACTGTGGAAAAACATTAGCATGTTCAATATTTGTTTTCTCCACTGTAGAGAAAGTGGGCATATTTATAAGCCAAAAACTGTACATCATTTCTTTCACCTAAATAATTTGATTAGTGGACATTTTCTACCTTATACCATTCAATAAATCTGACCATGCATCTTCTTAATGTTGTGTTTTACCCAAAAATATAAAGGTCGAAGTTATGCAAAAGATAAAATATTAACTGGAGCTGTGCATAAGCCATCAGTATTCAAATAACTCAAATTACAGATTTACCAGTTTTATCAAATGGAGAGTCAATGTTTGAAGATTTGTGTGGCCGTCTCCCCAGGAGTTTACCAAAAAACCCAATCCTGCAAAAGAAGATTGTCTGAGTAAATTTTGTACGGCATCACATAAATATTATATAATTTTTAACTCAAAATGTTAAAATAATTAAATGAAGCAAATGATTTTACTTCTCAGGAGTTGTAAGTGATTGGTTTGAGCCTTGAAGATCGGTGCCTTCACTGCCTGATCTGGCTGGAAGGCTGTGCCTTGAACAGTCCGGTTCTGATACCATCTGTATCAACAAGAAGACAAATATTCTGCAAGTTAAAGTACAGAAATGATTAACAAAAATCCTAATCTGAAAACTTGAACAGTTCTCGTTCATATCTCAACTGGAAGTTCACGTTCTCCCACTCCACTTTGTTGCTTCAGCTGTTTTTACCAGCAGCTCCTCCACCAGAACCGCAACCAGACCAGGAAATAAAACAGAACTACACCATCTCCATCCATCATGCAAAGACAGTTTCCTCCCACCAGCAGATTTTTTTTACAATCTCCATGAAGGTGTTATTTGTGCAGACACAGGTTAGTAATACTGACTATTTTTCACTTTTATAGTACTGATTTTGTTGTATTTTACCATATGGCTGCTTGCAAACAAAGCACAGATCAAGCATGGTTCTGTACAGCTATGTCAGCTACTTTAGTAAGATATGTGCAAGCATTTTAAAATATATGGAAGAGCTTAATTAAATCAAATGTATAGAAGTTTAACACATGTCAAAAACACAAAAATCTTGCCAAGTATTTTTCGTCTCAATTCTCATGCTAATAACTTAACATTTGAAACAAGGCAAAACTGTCATAAGGTGGGGTTGAAGTGGTGAGGAGATGACGCAGAGAACCCAGGTTATGGTGAAGATGAATTTAATGATGAATGTAGTTCACATAGTCCAAATCAGGCAGCACGGCAGGAACAACTAGCACGCAGCTAAGCACCGGTAGCAACTGACAACGAAGACTAAATCAACTGGAACTGACGTCGACACAGGACTTAACCAGTACAACTGGGAAGACGGACAGACAGACGAAGACTGCAAACATTTGACAATTGACAAGGACCCGACGAGGAACACAGACAACAGGTGGGTTTAAATACACACGGGGTAATTAAGGGAACGAGACACACCTGGGGAGCAATCAACGGGGAGGACAGGACAGAGACTCACAGGGAAACACGAACACATTGAAAAACTCAAAAACACACAGAAAACCACGGATCATGACAAAAACTAACTTACGAGTAACTTTTCATCAAAATATAGGAGCTTTTATTAAGTCAGTGATTCCTTGATATCGATTAAAAAAGTACTAGTTCCACTGGCAGACTATTTCACTTGCCACATGGGGAAAACATCTTTTTATAATAAACTAGACAAAAAAAAATACTTGGTAACTTTTTATGTTTTTGTAGTATGAAAAAGCAAAACCTATCCAACAATGTTTGATAATATTTCAAAAAATGCTTTGTGACAGAGAGGGGGGCTATAATTTACAACGACAATATATGAGAACAACCAAAAAGAGTTTTTGTACATCAGTGTGTGGGACAGATGGATTAAGCACAAATATAAACCAGCTTAAAAAACTGGAAATATGTTACATAGGATGGGTTTCTGAAAGGCAAGGATAGCTATTGTTGATGTTACAAATATGTAAATAAATGTATTGTCAACCATGAGAACATTAGGGTTAAGCATCATTTAATGTGGGAATTAATCAAGGGTTATCTGGTGTGGGAAGATTAAAATGTAAGATCTTATCTTCTACCAGCTCCTTTTCAAACAAATTGGGTAAAATTGCATTTGTCTTGTAATTTTTTTTCTGTTTTTACTTTTTAATGTCTGAAACAAATAACAGTTGTATCAACGTTTATTAAGCACATTTTAATTATAAGAGATGGCCTGATATCAAAGCTACTTGTCATTCTGCGTAAACCTAATCTGCCTGCTGACTCTGGTGCTCAAGTCAGAAAGACGAAAAGTTCAGAAATGAGCACTGGAAATGGACTTCGACATTTCCAAAGTTCTGGAAAGCAGCCGCTCATGTTCCAATTGAGTGAAAGATAGAGCTCCAAGAATAATGCAAGGTATCCAGCTAGTCCACATGGGACGTTTGCATGCAGGGCCATTGTTGAGAGGAGAGTGGTGGGAGTGAAGCTTCCCTTTAGGTCAGTACCTTGACCTGGGAATTGAGGGGCCAGACATCCATGACACTGGCTGAGCCCGTCAGGGTGGGCACAGTGGGGCTGATGGGAGGCAGTGGAAAGTTCCAGTACTCATTCTCCTTGGAGCCCCCAAAGCTATACACCAAACCGCTGCGGGTGTAGGCTAAGCGCCGCTTGTGTTTTTTCGGCTTGCGGAGACGAACCCTTCCCTGACAGGGCCAGAGAAAGGGACAAGGCTCAAACTGGGATGACGCTACGCGCTTATAACCTCCATTTAGGAGTAAGTCAAGGCTTAGCGTCCTGAACACAGAGAGGCCTAATACAAACCAACAAACCATCAAACATGTTACGAATAACACAGAAGAGAAGGGAGAAAACATCCGAAGCTTGACAATTGATTCATGCTCTAGATTATGAAATATTATGAACGCCAAGCTTACCATTTGGGGACTGGAGGAGCTTTCGCAGCCAGAGGAGCTCGACAGTTCATCAACAGAAACTGCTTTACGACTTTTTTTATTATTATTTGAGAAGGAAACAAAAAACAAAGTGAAAACTTTTTTTCAGATTTCAGTTGATTCTT